CCACTAACGATCCAAAAATCGGCCGATTTTCGACCCATCTATGGCCTGCATAAGGCAAGCCACAGATGATTTGATTTTCTTTCCTTCCACCATGAGTACAAATTGAACATAAAATATAGCAGCTAGCACCAAGAGTTATGATACCAACCCCAAAAAATATAATAGTGAAATGTGCAGCGCTTGTAAATAACAAATCAATTGATATGTCAAATGTGCAAATCTGTGCAATGTAATATATACAGTATTAACCTAATATAGCAAAAGTCCCCAAAATAGGTTCACCATATGAAGTGCAATTTCAGTGCCATTCCCAAAGGAATATTATAAGTCCTTGCAAATTCGGTTAAGGAATAGTTATACAAGCTTCCAAAGTATCCACACTGGGATATAACTGGCTTGAAAAGCAGGGCTCTCCTGTATGTCACATCTCATGGACAGCCACAAAAATACATAAAAGGACTCTCATAGTCTAGTAGGGACAGGGCTTGTGCTCAGTGCTACAAAGATTGGACCGGCTCTTGGCTCAGACACGCAATGAATTAAAGTGGTTGTAATGGCTCAAGGATGAATGAACACGCGGAGCAGTGGGTGCTCCCAAAGCAAACTGCTTTCTGTGGGGACACCTGACAGGAGAGAGGAGCCAGGAGCGCCAGCAGGGGACCCAAGAAGAGGAGGATCCAGGCTGCTCTGTGCAAAACCGTTGTACTGAGCAGGTAAGTAAAGACATGTTTATTATTTTTTTCTATTAAAAAATGCCTTTAGAATCACTTATAAGTTGGAAACCATGGTCCAGTAAGAAATGAAATCATTTATTATTGAAAAATAATTCAGATAAACAGATTAATCATTGTATATTTTTCAGGGGTTGGTTCAGCTTTTCACCACGATCACCCAGTTCCGGCTCTCTCGAGCTTCCGCACACAGCTCTGATCTCTCCTCTCTGCTCTCCACACTGACTGTGTTGGTGGGGGAATCAAGCAATTTTCTTCCCTCCTGTAGTAATATTGTGTTCTGCCACAAGGGAGCCTTCCCAGCCAGAAGAAAACAATGATTACTGCTAGCGGCTATATCCACCAGAAGTAATCGCATGTAAAAAAATCCAACAGGCTGGTTGTACCCATGTCAATCAATGGATTGATCCAGCCTGCTCATGGATGGAATCTTGCCAGTCCCTGCTGAACTGGCCGAGATTTGATCCATCTATGGCAGGCTTAAAGCAGAACTCCACCCAAAAGGTGAAGTTCCACTTTAAGGCTTCCTCCCCCGCTCCTCTTCCCCAAATGGAACTTTTTTTTGATGGGGAGCGGGTACATGCTTTTGACAGGTATGAGCTCCTGCTTTTGCTCTGACCGCTTAGGAGATTGGAAGCAGAAGGTCTCCTTCCCCCTCCACAAAAATGGCTGTAGCTCCAAGAATCGCCAAACGGCTGCTGCAAAAACTGTGATTGAGTACATCTTGACTTGGCTTGCACTTCCAGATGTGGTCATAACTCTGCACAGGGCTTGTAGAATCCTGAACAAGCCCCCACTTGTAGTGCTACCCCACAGAAACCACTGAATTGTTTTGATCCTTCTACCTGCTTCCCAATGTTGACCCATACTGTACATGAACCCGAATGATGCCATTACACCTGGAACTTATAAAATAGGTTTTCTAACAAGAAAAATCTCTAAGCAGTAAAGTGTGGGCTAGATAAAACTTCTGACAACAATAACAAGATATTTGACAATTAACATAGTAACAACCTCAGGATTACGTACCACAATAAAGAGCATCATGGCTAGCAAGAGGACCTATCTTCATGCAAGAGGCCCTGTATTTGCTACTGACCTGTGAGATGAAACTCAGTCTCTGTTGACTTTGGGCCCTGATCCTCATGTTGGAGCGCTCTTTTCTCAGTGGGGAAATTTGTAATCCTTGGGATAGGTATAGAAAAGCCTACTCCTGACACCACTTCTTGGCAGCTAGGGTACAGTTACAACAATAACACATAAAGGTGATCCATAGGCCTCTCATTGCTCTGGTAGTCTGGTGAAGTCTGACTGGTCACTTGGTGGTCCTGAGTAGCTCTCCCACCAAGGATAGTTATGGGTAGGATCAGAAGTTTGAGTCTCACACCACAGCACAATGCTGGAACAGCAGGATAATGGAACAGCAGAATATTGCAACAACAATGCAGTCTAAGGAACAATGACACAGTGTCTATACTAGTAGCACTCATGGCATGTGGCTCTCTACCCTCTGGTCGCTGCAGCCAGCAGCTCTCAGCTTAGCAGCACGTGGTCCAGACTCTGCTGCAGCAGACAGTCTCTCATCAGCTCAAGCATCACACACAACAACAAGAGCCCCCTGTAATGTGCCCCAGTCACATTCCTTGTGAAGGGGTCCTGTGTCACCCCAAAACATTGCACTCTTCTGCTGTCATGTGATCATTCTGAATAAAAAAAATTGGGTGTTACTTGAAGATCCTTAGTAAGCTGGAAGTATATATGTAACCAGTCTCTAGCCCTGTTCCTGAGCTCACTGTAAGGATCTCTTGACTACCAGCCCTTCCAGGAGCACATCCACCCACTCAGCACTTTGAGCCCCCACTCACTCCTTGATAGTTTCTGCAGATCTACCTTCTGTCTGGTGGGGGTGGTGTAGAGGGTTAACTTACAGGCATGGCCTGAAGCCTATTATGATCCTCCTAGCCGTGTTACTTTGGAAAAGTCCAGTTCCCTGGATAAGGTGGCAGCCTCCCATCTTCTTGCAGGTATCGACCAAGTAGGGCAGGGAAGACGAGCAGCAGTGTAGAAGCAATGCTCTTTCTGATGGCTTAAATATATACATTTGAACAGTCTTACATGTCAAAAGAATTTGATATAATTCTGTTGCAACCCTGTCAGACCGCAAAATCACATTATTTCTTTATATTTTTAGTTAAAGTACTACCATTCCACCAGTGTTCCGTATTGGCCACCATTGGGGTACCTACACCAGCCTTCAGATGTTTTCTCAATTGTTCTGGTTATCCTGGATGGCTGGGTATTCAAGCATGCAAATATTAGCACCTCCCTGCAGTGTGGAAGGCTGTCCTGCCCCTCCTTCCTTTTGGCTAACAAGGCTACCCAAAGTATTAAGCCAAACGGAAATTTTAAGGAGGTGCAAATCCATGTCAACATTTCCATACAATGGAATGTAGGGCTCCTAGGGTGCTGGAACAGACATCTGGTGTATGTGCAGATGGATCTATATTACTGCATTTTATTGTTGTGGCCAGATCATGACAAAACTAGAAAAATCTTATGTAATTTAAAATGAATAAAATAAAAATAAAAAAGTGTCCCTGAAAAGAAGTTTATATTTACCTCCTTTACCAGCCATGCCACCAGTCTCTGTTGTAACCTCTGTCAGAAAAGCCTTCAGAATCTGACACTTCCTGGTATCAGATCCTGAAAATCCACTGACCTCTATGATGGGGCAAACATCCCCTATTCCACACACAGTTGAACATTTAAACCTACCAAAAGTTTGTCCGTGAACTTTGAACAGGGACAATTCACTAAGCGGTATCTTAACACATCTGAGTATGCGGTAGCAGACCACACAGCTACGAAAAAATACTGCATAAGTTATAATAATGGGTCCTCCTGCGCGTATAAGGATCTTCACTAACTATAAGCTGCTGACACTTAAACCTAAAACCAAGGTGTAGAAAAATAAAATATAATATATATAGTGTAGCACTATTGAATACTAAAATAATTCCATATACTAATAAGTGATTAGATCCTATATGGATCTATAAGTGACAAAGTGGCAAAAGTATATAAACGTAAAAATATATGTGAAAATAATCTTCCACAATCCCTCTAATACACAATTGAGGGATCCAATGCTCACAAATACAAAGTGCAAACAAATATGTGAATCCCCTGATAGGGTTAAATACCTATATAAAAGTGATAAGTGCCACACACTTAAACACATATATAACTGTCCACATTGAAAAAATCATAAACACACCAAAAATTGATAAACAGTAATGCAAACGTTCAAACACTAAGAACATAGGTTTGTGCTCCAGCATCAAAATCATGCAGGTGGTAATGTGTAAACATGGTCACAGCACAGGTGAAAATCCTCAAGTGGCCAAAATGCCTCCTCACCTCCTTACAGTGACCACACGGGCCAGCTCACTTATAGGATCACACCACGATCCTCACAGATATTACTCATCACAGGTCAATCCCCTCACTCTGTGTCATCAATAGTGGCTCTCACTCCACTCCTTTTAGATCTCCTCCAGCCACTGATACCAGTAGTACCACTTATTCTTTGGTTATTCTGAAGAAATAACTGTTTGTATGTGTCCATGTGCAAAGTGAATGTGAATGGGAGTGACTTTATAATTATCAGTCAGCTGCTGCACCTGCAGGGTTCTAATGAAGAAAGTGGCAGAGTTTGAATTCCATTTGTTGCAGAGGATGCAGGGATGTTCAAAATCTGTTTTTTATCAGATACAGAATGCCTCAAGGTTGCCATATTGCATTGCTTTCTAGCATTGCTGAAAATTACAGAGCTCAGAAGGATACATAGACTCACAGGGGCAGCTGGAGCTTGAAGCCAGCAGAAAGAGATCAGGAACCTGCAGCGTTTGCTGATGATGTCACAAGGAGGTGGGGTCACACCTGCCCTTGTAATGTCATCATGCACTGTGATTGGCCAAAGCATCACACCTGACCTGTGGTCAAGTGCATTGCTTTGGCCAATCACAAAGCACTGTCAGGGTTTGCCGAATACACGAACGGCCGATGTTCAAGTCGAACTTATGTTTGACTCAAACATCTAGCTCTATACATCACTACAGAATACATGTGGAACTATAGAGTGCGAAGGAGGCTCAAAAACTAAATACACTATATTGCCAAAAGTATTGGGACACCCCTCCAAATCATTGGATTCGGGTGTTCCAATCACCTCCATGGCCACAGGTGTATAAAATCAAGTACCTAGGCATGCAGACTGCTTCTACAAACATTTGTGAAAGAATGGGTCACTCTCAGGAACTCAGTGAATTCAAGCGTCCAACCGTGATAGGTTGCCTTCAAAATTTCCTTCAAAATATATATGAATCTGCACTTAAAGTAAGATAAAAATGAGAGTGCAATATATAGCAACTGAACACCACACCCCGGTACCAGGCAATATAACAGTATACATATAAAGTGCAGCTCTTAACAGAAAACAATTGGTGAGGCAAAATTATAATAATAAATCATTAAAGGAAATGTCCATCTAGAGTTTTCAAAAATACAGGAAAGTCCCCAAAAGTTGTGATGAACAGGAAAATCCAAGGATAGCTAATGTGTCACCAACCACTCACATAAAAGGCTTACCAGAGAGATATGACCCCCTGTTCAATGGTCAATCATGCTTTGCTGTATGATAACCCAGAAAACTAGAAAGCCGGACACCCCTCTGGATCCCCAAGGGAGAAACGCCAAAGATCCTCCAAGCAATGATCCTAAATAGGGTAGCTAAGCCACTCCAGATGGGACCCAAATAGGTATTAGGAGACATGCAAGAGAAGACTGTTCCACATAGTGTAAAATCAATAGAACAACGTTTATTTGAAAAATGGTTACACTCACATGAAAGTGGACATAAATAAGCATGTACAGCAAAAGCAAAAAATCCAATTCTTCCAACATCCAAAATGCCCACCGGCCGGTCACGCATGCATGATAGCGTGTGTATGCGTGTCTCCGCCCTAAGCATTTCGTCATAAGTGACGTCATTAGGGGCACGAAAAAAAAAGCATAATGAACGTAGAATTGCATATACGGTAGTGTCGATAACATGGAAAAAAAAAGGAATTACAAAAAGAAACTGGGTAATGAAAGTGTGGGCACTGAAAAGAGAGGGGGGAATGAAAAGTTATATGACCCCTGCTTTCAATACCCTGTTTCTTTTTGTTACACCTTTCTTCCATGTTATCGACACCACCGTATATGCTATTCTACGTTCATTACCATTTTTATTATCATTTCTAATAACAGTATGTCTACACATACATATCCTTCATAATTTTCTGTTTCATGGTTCAGTGCTCTATTTTTATTATTTATTTTTTATAGCTTTGTGCTTTGAGATCATGTTCCACATTGATATGCGTTTTTTCCATGTTACTATGTCTTTAAATCTCCGCTGAGCACTGTTGTTCCATGCCTGACAGTGTCCTCTACTTAACCTCCCTGGCGGTATTCCCGAATGTAGCTCGGGGTAAGGTTTCAGTACCGCAAACGGTAACCCCGAGCTACACTCGGGCTTACCATGCTGCGCTGCTCCGAGATCTGTTCTTCACTTACCTTGTCCTGTGCTCCCGCGATGTCCCTCCTGCAGTGTCCCCTGTAATGTCCTCTGGCGGATGCCGGCATCTGTCATCTGGGTTCCGTCCCCTGCGAGCGTCGGGACGTAAGAGGGGCGGAACGGCGGAAAATTTGAAAATGACAAAAAGTGACATTCACTAAATACACTAAAATCACATAGTATAACATTACTGTATCAAACCATTTCACATACATGTTGTCCCGAGTGCTTTGTCCTGTGCCCTGCCTGCATTTTTACTGTTCTTTCTGCCTGGAAACTGAGAAACGTGCATGGCGTCCAAAAAGCGTCCCTTTAGGTCAAAAGCGGTTTTAGACCAGCTAGAGAACAGCGATAGTAAATTAGAACCATTTGCAGAATTGAGTGATAATGATTCGTGGGGGAAATTCGTCATCAGACACTGAAAATGATTTCAAGACTTTGTTCAGTGATGTGCGAACTTGGCGCTCTATTTCAAATTTCAGTGTTTTTGGTTTGATTATATTATTGAATTAAATGTATTATTATATTTTTTTTTTTTATGATTATTTATTAAATTATAATTTATGATTTTGTGTTTCAAATTGTAACATACCCGGGATGTTTACTAGACTCCTGCTCGGACAGATTTCAGTGAGTTATTCCTACAAATTACAGGCCTACAACAAAAAAAATACATATTTCCATGCAAAAAAATTTACCACTTTGAGCACAGAAATATGGACATAATCAGACCGCTAGGGAGCTTAAAGTGGAGTTCCACTCAACCTATCAAAAAATAAATGTCAGCAGCTACAAAAACTGTAGCTGCTGACTTTTAAAAACAGCCACTTACCTGTCTCTTGGTCCCGTGGTGTGTCCCCCACAGTTCCTTTCACCAGCCGTACTATATTCCAGGAGGCCGGCATCTTCAGTGTGGGCACCTGGCTGTGATAGCTTGCAGCTTCACAGCCAGGTGCCCACTGCGCATGCGCGAGTAGCGCTGCGCTTCGCAAATGGTCCTGTAGTCTTCTGGGACCTGTCACGTGTCCCAAAAGACTACAGGGAAGGAGGGAGGGAGGACACCTTCTGCTTCCGATCACCTAGGAGATTGGAATGGAAGTGTGATCGGGTACCTGTCAAATTTGGGTACCCGCTCCCCACCTCCCCAAAGGTGCCAATCCTTAATGGAGAGCGGGCAAGCAGTCCTTAAAGCGGAACTTCCCCTTTTGGGTCCACCAGGCCAACAGAAGGAGCTAGAGGCTCCAAGCGTGTAGCCTGACTGTCTCTTCCTCTCCACTGACCCTCTGCCTCTTCCTTTGATGTCACATCCTGCTGGAGTGTTCCAGGCAGGTTATTAGGCTCCTTCCTGTACAAATGCCACTGGATCGGCTCTACAACACCATCACTCTGCAGGATCTCACCATCTCCATCAGTCCAGCTGCTATTGCACCAACCACCGGTGGTGCCTGCAGGATATTTTGAGGATCAGTCATCTCTCATATACACAGATGAGCTTGTTTTATTACTTCCTTTGTGAATGTTTTTAATCCTGCTATTAAATACAGTGTTATTTCTACACTCAGACGGGCGCCTCCTGTCTCTTTTCTTCAATGACAGATTCTGAAGATTCTCTTCAATACAACAGAAATCAGTGGTGCAGGCAGTGGGGGGGGGGGGGGGGTAAGTATAGGGAAACTTTTCTATTTTAGAGACAGAGTCAGTTTTAGCAACATGGCTTAGTTTATGTTTACTCCTGCCTGCTGAATGCACAGTGAAGGAGCAGCAGAACATTGATGAGGCCAACCCTATCCTCTACATTTTATAAAGCAATATGTTTCCAATAGGGTAAGATCACTAAAGCATTACATTTGAATAGAAAAAAAGAGCTGAACACACATGTTTATGGAGTGCTTGGTAGAGCTTTGAGGACATTTTCACATTTAGGCACTTGATTGCTCTTGCACATTCGACCATCCTCTACAGTATTCAGCATTTTCCTGTGCCAATCCATTTATATCAGTACCATGATTTGAATAAAAATGGCTCTCAACCTGTCTCATGACACAGAGAGATCCTTTAATAATAAATAGCTGAGCTGGGGTAAAATTTGTCAGCAGAGTATAAGAAAAAAGGCACTGAGAATACCAGTGAAAACATATCAGTGTCAACATTTGCTGTGTGACAGCACTCCTAAATAATATATTGTCAGTATATATATATATATGTACAATAAAACACATAGCTAAGCAATAATTAATAATCCTTAAAGAACAGGCGCGTTATTCTTTAGTAGCTCTTTATAATTAATACAACAGCCCTGGAGGTTATTTAACTTTTGAACTAATTTTCCTAGCTAATTGCCAAAAGAATGCACAAACATTCTGAGAATCTTTATGCTTCCCTTTCTTTTGGTTATATAGATAAATATACAAACAAAGAACAACAAACTTTTAAATGAAGAAGCACTAGTTTGCCTTGCAGGCAGTGTAAGCTATGAGCTTCAGTACCACTCCTTTCCCTGCCTTGTATTGATCTCAGGTATGTCATTTTTTCAAGACATAAAAGTAATACAAAGAATTGTGAATGCCAAAATTATGAGGACACCTTATCATTTTTTTCTGAGAATTAATTTATAGATGTTTATTTTTCACCTTTACCTGGAGGTTTTCTTTGAAACTATGATACACTGGCAGCACTTTATGCTTTGCTCCCGTGGAATATAAATTGAGGTCTGAGTGTACCGAAACCCCAAACCAAAAATGGAATATATTGCAGCTTAATAGTCTTTGGTCTGGTGGCTTCATTCATTTCTTTTTACAAGCTACTTTTCCTTTTTTCTTTACTCGGTAAACCTGCAAATAACACACTCTGGTCTCCTTTTATGAAACAGATCAGCGGTGATCCTAAGGATCGTTGCTGATCTCAGATCATTAGTGGTTTAGGAAACAGAGATGATCAGCAGAGAACATGTTCTCCACTGATCATCTCAGCACACAGATGGCCAGTGTATGAAGGAGCGATGTCAGCCCTTCACTGGCGATCTGTGTTCTCCCTCCAGATTCTCCAGCCCAGAGGTGCAGAATGGGGGAACCACAAACGAAGCAGCAGTAATTTACCGCTGCTTAGTACATGGTGTGTGACTGATCTCTTACTGTAATCTCGCGAGATTATAGTAACAGCAGCCGTTTTCCAGCACTCAAAGCTTTTGTAGATCACTCTCTTTTCTTTCAGAGAAGTGATCTACACCGCTTCATAAAAAGTCATTCAGAGGAGAACTGTTGCCTCTGAGAATGCTGGAGAACTGAGCAGCGGTCATTTACCGCTCATGATAAAAGGACACCTCTATGTCCATGGGTGGCTACATAACTCCTCTACTTTATCTATGGAGGGAGCCAGGGTTGTTACCCCGTGATGCTTTCCTGATATAGATTATAAACATGTCCATATTTCTTCATCTCCATTACACGGGGACTGGCAATTGCTAGTTTACAGAAGACAGCTAGGAGGGAAGAAATTCTTTGGAGCAGGGGCGAACAGACAACTCATGGGGCCCCCGGGCAATAGGGGATCATGGGGCCCCTGTGTCCTTGTCCACATTCAAAACACACCCAAAAAAGCCTATAAAAGGTACCAGGGGCATTTCATGGGGCCCCTACTGTCCCCGGGCCCTCGGGCAGTGCCCGAGTGCTTGAATGGTCAGTCCGCCCCTGCTTTGGAGCAACTCACAGTAAGTGATGAGGACACTGCATTTCTAGCAAGATCAACCGGTATTTTCTATATTTGCTGAAAATGTCTTTAGCATAAAAAACACACCTAATGCAGCCACCACATAAAAGGACTGTTAGCTGCAATATATTGCACTTTTGTTCTTGGGTTTAGTTATCCTTTACCAGAACAAATAAGTGCAGACCATTTCTATCTTGAATTTAAATAATTCCAACTTTCCTGTTTGTGTCTTTCTTAAAATGTAACTCCAGACATTGATTTCATTAAAGGTCCGTTTTCACCGTAAACTGTTACTAACCCACAGCAGTAAAATCAGTCTGTATATGCAGTAAAGCATGCTTGTTATACTCACTGTGGAACCTAAGGGGTTAATCCTCTACATTGTGTAAAAAGGCTGTTTGATCCTGACTTCTGTGATCCTGCCCTTCTTTCAATGCTCCCCTCTTATCTCCTGATAAGACATATTGTGTGGAGTCACTCTACACATGCTCAGTTTGATGTGTATTGCTAGAGAGGGTTTTTTTTTCTTGGGAGAGTGTATGTGATCAGCACAGGGCCAATCAGCACTGTCCAGACAGAGGTCAGGGGTTCTACGTCCTCCTACAGCAGATAGAAAACTCCTCCTACAAGCTTTAACCAGTGCTCTGCTGGACATTGATAGAAGTCACAAGACTGCTATATACTGCTGGTGAGAAAAGGTGTTTAGCAGTTTATATTTACTAAAATAATTACATTTCCATGTTCTGTGTACTGTGGGAGACCAGAAAAAGTGAACGCAGGGTCCTGGGTTTAGTAACATGTTAAATAAAATTATTCCTCTGTTTCACAGCTCACCTCACTCAGAAACCCATGTTCAAAGTAAAATCTCTTTGTCTAGTTTCCCTTCTTATATGACTGGTGGCTATTGCAGGATAGGAATTTTCATTTCTCATAGTGCATGTAGGATATCTGCCTCCATGATACCTCCTTCAGTTGCTCTGCCAAAGCTTTTAGATGCAGTCTCACTTTTTTCTTTTTTTTCTTGTTTTTTTTTGCTTGATTCAAGACTTCCCATTAAAAAATAGCTTTTGTTTAAGAGGGTGATCTTTTGGGGTTTTACTTATTGTGTGTGTATTTTTTTACTTTATCTTGATAGAGCTTTTATTTTATTTCAGGTACTTACTGTATATAGTGCCATCAATTTACATAGCGCTTTACATATATATACTGTACATTCACATCAGTCCCTGCCCTCAAGGAGCTTACAATCTAAGGTCCCTAACTCACATTCATAGATACACATACTAGGGCCAATTTATACAGGAGCCAATTAACTTACCAACATGTCTTTGGAGTGTTGGAGGAAATGGAGTACCCGGAGGAAATCCACCCAGGTGTAACATGCAGACTCCAGGCAGGTAGTGCCATGGTTTGGATTTGAACCAACGACCCTAGTACTGCCAGGCAGAAGTGCTAACCACTTAGCCACTGTACTGCCCTTTTTGTTAGGTTAAACTGCCTTTTTGCTAGA